TGTGCCAGTTTTGCTCGTTTACAGGCTTTTACCTGAAACTATTACCTACTTGCCGGCTGATTCGCTCGATTCCTGCCACGCCCCTTCTCCTAACAACCTTACCCACGCCCCACCTTTTAGCCTTATAAGTTCTTTTTTCCCTTTTCGCTCTCCACCTGCAATCAAGTGTTGACTCGTTGCATCTTATAGTTGCAAGTAAGCAGTTTTTTTTCTTACACTTTTTTAGCTGCTGAGCAGCTGCAGAAAGTTGCTCATCTGATTACATATTTATTCGCAATTTATGCATAATTCTATAACAGTTCAGTTCATTCTCGACTGGCTTTAATCAGCGTAGAAGTAAGAGATAACCTTCCGGAATCGAAGGGATGTCAGAGAACAGACCCCAGGCAATCCATCAAGGCGTATCATGCTCGGCAAACCGCCCAAAAACTAAACCCCACCACCACTACCACCGATTCCCAAGTGTATAAAACTGTCAGGAACTAGTATACGCTGGGCTGGGGGGAACAAAATAACAAAATAAAACACTTTTACCATCTCCGATACACCACCACGTTAAAGCCCAGCTTTAAGTCTCACCAGCAACCTATTTGCAAGGCAAAAAAAAAGATGATGAATCTTTTGTTGTTTGCCCCGTCCCGAAAGCCACTAAAAATGTTAACTAAAATACAGGGAAAATATATGGCCTCAGATGAACAAAAAAAAAAAAAAAAACAAGGAAAAGAAAAAGAAAAACCAAGGAAAGGGAAAGTAAATGTAACCAAGATGAAATGTGCGGAACTCCAGCGGCAGCAATAACATGTTGAGCAAAAAATTATGATGGAAATGGGGAGCAGATGGAAATAGGACACGGGAAAACTTTTGGAGAGGCCAAGGGAGAAGCGGAGGAGCATTGACAAGCTGAAAATAGTCCTGGCTATATGGCTCAGCATAAAACTAACAAGAAAATGTAGAGGCATGCATTCCATTCAGGGCGTAACGAATCATGTAACTGAGCTCTCACTTCTCGTTTTCTTTAAAATTACGAAAAGCAGCAGCCACTGTCGGAAACTAAATGAGAATTGAGGAAAGGAAATGCTTTTAGACAAATGCTAATCAAACAAGAAAGTTTTGCGAGAGAAAGAAATTGCAGAAACACACTAGAAAATGTGCACTTTATCCGTATTTAAAATGATTTTAAATATAAGGTTTAAAAAGTTTACTTTGATTTTTAATTTAAAGCCAACAAATGTATTTCTATATGATTTCTTGATTAAGACTATTAATATTAAATCATAAATTGATTCAAGAAATTAAAGTTAAGTTGTATTTTTTCTACTAAACACTTACTGAATTAATATATTACCAAAAAATAAAGTCCACACCACATATCAATGTCAACGGCGATGACAAAGATAAATTCACGGCATGTTGGAAAATCTTTCAGTTTTCCCGGCCAGTGATGGTCATTAGAATTTAAATTGGATAGAAGTCTTGGGCTTTTTTAAATTTGTTTTTTTTTTGTAAATTTAATGCGATGTTAAGGCACAACCAAAAAAAAAACACACAATCTGAGCACAAATGGCGCCAAATTCCGTCCGGCAATCAACTAAATTCAAAGCAAATTGTCCGGACAATGGGCCAAATGTCCGCAATGGGGAGGCCATCATGAATGTCCTCGAGAGGAGACGGCAAGCCAACTGCCTAATGCTCATTATTTTGCGCTCGAGAAATTTCTGTCTCGTCACTAATTCATCATTGTTTCGGCACATTAAATCCTTGAACGTCAACGCATTCATTATCTCATCGCATGTGAGGCAACGGCTCTAAGCCAAAGACTCAGGCGGCTGGTTTTGGCCAACTCATCGGCCTGGGCTCACATGGTCAGCCTTCTGTCTGCCTGTCATCGAGGTTTCGTCGCCACGGCATGCTTGAGTGATATTAACTGACCGACAATCAGTCAAGGGCAACTGGACCAACTGGACCATCAGCGGCCAAAGCAAAGTTGGCCAAAAGAGGCTTAAGCCAGATTTTCTGGTATAGCGACTGCGGAGGCAACGTAGAACATTCATGTGGCCAGAATGTAGACCACGAATAGTTCTTGTCATTGGGGCATATATATTATATTTAACCCTTTATGTTCTTATGGGGTTTAGGTTTCCAAAAATTAAATAATATATCGTAGTTTCTTACATAAAAGTTAGTTACTAAATTACTAAAATTTTAAGAATGAATTTAGGAAGTAATATTAATTTAATATAAATACTTTTCTTATATTTTAAATAATTCTCTTCTTAAGTTTCCTTTGAGATAAAAACATAAATATTATAATTTTTTATTATTATTTTTATTGGTAAGAGTGTTAGATGTCAAAACCTCTGACAGGGTTACCTCCAGAGGGTTAATACAGCCCTGGAAAGGATGTCTGTGGGGCTAGCATGTTAATTGCTTCCAGGCTAATCGAATTTTTTGCCTGTCATTATGAGTAATGTGTCTGGGATGCGCACATAAAGCCATTTGTCGAGAAAATTACGTCTAGTGGCAAATTGCGCTAAGCGTTTGGCAATTTAAAAAATTCCCGATTACAAAACATTCCGACATAAACAATAAAACCGTATAAACCGTTTAAATGTAATCCACTGTAGAATCAGTAATATCGTGTACTAATAAAAATAAAGGAATATGCCAACCCCAACATAATCGCACATGTCATCTGTCCTTAATTTACCATGCAAACAGCACATGATTACAAATGGCCAACGAGCAACCCAAAAAAAAAAACAGTTAACAGGATGGCAAAAAAATAAACTAAACTGATAAACAAAAGTATGCAAATATTTAAAATAACAAAAAACAAATGTGCCACAGGCTAAAAACCTAAGCTTGTTAAGCAGTTTTATTCACTTTTGACATGAAGGAAAATGGCCAATAAGCTGGTACAAAGAATGGCTTAAAGGAAACAGTTTTTTATTAAGAGTTTAATAAACATAATTTAAGATTTTCAAGAAATAAATACTAAACTAAAGAACCCAAAAATAAAGAATGGTTTACAACTTAGAAAGGAATACTTTCCCATGTTAAAGTTGCTATCCTCACAACTTTTTAGCCCTTTAAAAAGTGTTTTTATATCATTAGAACTTATGAACTCCTTTGTATAGTCCTAAATATAAGGATTGGTACTAAATATAAATAATCTTAAATCACAATAATATTCCAATAATAAAAAATATATGAAAAGTGATCTACTTTCACAATTTCGCCAATGTGATTATTGTTAAGAATGCAAACTGTGTCACGGAGATTAGTCATCACTTTGGCCTCCTTGGGGACGAATATCAACGCGTAGTTGTCATGGCAATAAATTCAGGGCATCCGCACGTTGGTCGCCAGCAAAAAGTCGTATTACATCGCTAATTTATGTAGCACATAAGTTAATTTCTGTTTGTCTGTTATTTGTTGTAATTAGTCGACGTTCAAGCCGTTGTCCCAGGGGCCATTAAAACTCGTCCCTGGCTGCCGGAAAAGCTTCCAGCCGCCCCATAAACAAACGAAAAACTGTTGCTTCCGCTGGCTGCGTGTGAAAAAAAAGATAGATATATACTGATGACTATACGAGGGATATGCGAGAAACAGAGATGGCCGTAGTGCGGGCTAATTATTTTGTCGGTCAGCCAAAGTTCATAGTTCACATGAACCACAAATAGCCGGCGAAAAGGGAAAAAAAGCAACACCCACTCGCCCGTCGCTGGTCCGTTTGTATAATTTTTATTATCAGGCCAAGTAATATAAACTTAATTAATACCCACGTCGGCCGACAGGACGGCCATTTGATTCATGGCCTGCATTTGCGGGGCCCGGCTTAAATGCAATAATGAATGTGGCGACGCGAAATAAAGATGAAAACGAAATGAAAAATGAAAAAAAAAAAAAAGTAAATGTATAAAAATGTGCAAAGTATGCGGGGTCATACAAAGTGTGAAGGCGTTAAAGTCGAGCCATGGGTCAGCAGCCAAAGTCAAGGCATTAACGGCGACGACCTTTTTGCCACCTTCACTTTCCGAAAAGGGTTTTTTGTTGGTTTGTGCACAGTGAAGCCTTGTTTAAGGGTAATGTTTGGAAAAAATGCATACAAAAATTAATTTAAATTATTTTAAAAGATTTTTCAGCTTTCTCAGAAATGGTCATTATTTTTTGACCATAAAAGAAGATTTATAAAGTTTAAAAAAAGTCGGAAATATCTTAAATTTAATACCTCACTAATACATTCATTAACATATTCATTATTTTTTGTTTTAATGTTCCAAATAACTACCACATTTTCACACCTTTTATTACACTCATAAAAACAGAGCACACGTTTTAAGCCCGATCCCATGCACAAATCCTTCACACTCGAGTAAATCAAAACCAACAAAAAAATCACTTACCAAACATTGAAATCCCCGCGGATAGCGAAACAAAGTCTATTATTTTAAGTTCTTCATGTGCAGGTCAACCTGCCCCATCCTAGAATCGAATCTCCCATTTATCCGCCCGCGTGGCAAGCTCGCACTTACCAACAGCTTACTGAATAATACCAGCGGAATCGCTATCCGTTCTGGTTGTTATCAGAGATGGCGACTAGGCTATTTTATAGCCAATTATAAAGTGTAACTTTGATTACAAAATCTTACATTTTATAGATTATTTTAGAAGAGAATAAGATTTTAGTGAAGGTGATTGACAGGACCTTGTTATAAGTTGAATATTTAAAACATAAAAAAATATACCTGGAATATCTGACTTTGAATAGGTATGCTCTCATGTATCTTATTTGTTGTATCTTAAAATGTAGTTTAGAATATTGACTAAGAGATGTATATCTTTTCTTTAAGGTAATATAAATACTTTATTTATCATATCAAGACTAAGATCAACTTTCAAATAAAGAACTTCATTAAGTTTTTTTATAAGCCATATTCCCTTCGATACCTGATTTTTGTTAATACTGAGCTGCACTGGTTGTTGCATTGTCGTTGCAGGAATGGCACCTGTGCCCGCGGAGGGATTGCACCTGTCGAACCTCTCCGTTCCGCGCATTATCGACGTGGCCCAAAAGGCGAAACTCTTCTGCAGCTACGCGATGGGCAATCGGACGCTGAACTCTGTCAAATGGTACAAGGATGGCCTCGAGTTTTTCAGGTGAGCTGTGGCCGTAGAGCAAATAAAAGTGGTCTCCCCTTTATCTTTCCTTTTCTTTTTTCGAAAAAACCTCCAACCATAAAAATATTTTTCGGCATTCAGTTTGAAATAATAAAATGTCGCCAGGGAGCCCCGGAGATTGGGAGTTGCGAAATGTGCCGGCGCATTCATGCAGATTTTATGGCGCAAATTGAAAACGTCATGAAACTGCAACACTGTCCGCAACAAAGTAAAGTCCCCCATTTCCCAAAAAAAAAAAAAACAACAAAAATCAGAAAAAAATAAAAACAAAATAATGGAAGTGGGCTGGGTCGCTTGAAAGTGTCGCAACTAATTTAAATGCTTAATTGAAATGGATTTTTATGGCCCGCCTGCAATTGCGGCCAGGTGACGCTGCCGTATCGGGCCCAAATATGTGCGAAGAGGGCTTTTTATTTAACTGGCTTAATTGTTGCACATTGCTGTATATATTCTACATATATATATATATATATAGCATGAACGTGAAGAATCGGCGACCGTTGCCCAGATCCATGCTCTCCATCCGGGACTTAATCGAGCGCGAAATTTTTAACAAAGGTGTGTGTTTGGGCATTACGATTCGTTTTTAATGTTTTGGTTATTGATTTTTAAGGCCCGCTACAAATATGGTGATGTCAGGCGGCAAGGAAAAAAATTATTATTTATGCCAAATATCAGAACCATTTAACGGTTTATGGGCTTTGCCAAATGGTCGGACACGCCCACTCTTTGGCAAAAAAATTGAATTTATGCATAACTCATAATCTCTGATCAGAGAAGAAGTTTTTTTTTTACTTTTTATTATAATAATAAAATTTAATCAAAAAGGTAGTTGATATTTCTTGGAAGAGTCTTTTGTTTAAGTTTATTATTTTTTTTAAAAAAATTTTTATATACATTTCTAAAGCATCAAGTAAGTTTCATAAGTCAAATATTAATAAATGTTTCATAAATTGAATTCTTAGACTAAAAACTAAAAGTTTTAACATATTTTTAGACAGATTGAAAAAGGTTGTTTCTATTTATTGTTAGAATTTTGATTTATTTATTTACTGCTCAGTGCATTTTCCCAACCACGCCCATCCCACGTCACAACAACCAAAGTTCCATGTAAATTTCAAGCGTTTTGGCGACCACATTCGATTGGAAAGCCCAGGCTTGAAATTATTGTTTTTGACATATTCGCGAAGGGGGCGTGGCTGCTGAGGATGATTGCCATAGAAGAGGGCAGTATATGGAGGGCTGGATTTGCTGCCTTGCCAGTAATTTACTGCCGTAGGCAGTTGGCTTTTATCAATTACGCTTTTGTGTGAACGTTTTGATTGTGCGGTCTGCACTCGGCTTCAATTATTCATGTGCATTTGACACTGCGGTTGCTTCCATCTGTAACAAAAAACCCCACAAAAGATACACGCATTTCGAGTGTAATTCTGAATTTGTTCGGCCGTGCTTTTCTATTTGTTAAACTGAGTGTTTACGGACAACAAATCGACCTAACAATCCATTTGGTTTTCCAGCCTTGTGCCAAGAAAGCACAGACAAAGTGCGTGCTTAACTGTGATTTTTTTTACAATTAATAATCAAAAAATTGGACTTTTACCTTTGACATATAATATTGTGACCACAAAAGTTCTTTATGAATTTGTAAATATTTTAGTATTTAATAATATTTTCTAATCATTTTCTGACATGGAATTTTGTCAATAAAAGAAGTTGAATTTATAGTTTGAGCATGACAGACATTGATTTAACAATTTAAATATGATTACACGTTGACTCGCTTTCCATAAAATAATGTTTTGAATAATAAAACAAATTCCATGATTTTCTAAGGAATTCTCTTTTTAACCTCCTTTGATCCCACATTCATTGTTGTCATAATTTTATTAAACAATGACTGTGGAATACTAAGTAATTGGCCTTAGCCCAGCATTTAAATGCTGAAGTATTAAATTCCCTTCAAAACCTTTCTTTCGCCCTTCTCTCGTCGTTCTCAACACATTTCCGAATCGAAACGATTGGCCCCAATCGTCTCGCTAATTGCTGTAATCAAATGCAACATTCCCTGCATACGAACAATACTCCTACATATATGAATGGAATTTGAATTCGCATTCGTATTCGAATTTGAATTTTATTTGAGCTTTGAGTAGAACCCAGAGCTGAGTGCAACTGCATATTATTCATAATAAAATCGACAGCCCGGCCAAAAAATGGATACAATCCATGACGGAAGAGAGCTCCATCTGCAGTTGCAGAAACTGAAATGGAAACCAGAAAAATATATGTATTTTTTATTTTTTTTTTTCTTCAACATGATTCCCTCATCAATATTTCATGGTTTTGGTTTTGCGCAGCACTCGAACTCAAGCAACTAGCTAGCGGTCTGTCGCGGTCTCTTTCTAACACTCTATGGGCATCTCTTTCTTTGCAGATACTCGCCACTAACGCCGCCGACAACAAATTGGTTCCCCGTTAAAGGTGTCACCATCGCCGACGGTTCGCCGCATTGCAATCAATTCATCTGCAACGTGGAGCTGGAAAAGCTCAGCGCCCACTCTTCGGGCCAATACAGATGCGAGGTGTCCGGCGATGCGCCCGAGTTCAAGCTGATCGATCAGACGGCCAATATGACAGTAGGAGGTAGGTGCATAAATGTTCCCGTTCCCCTCACAAAAGAGATCCAGTACTCAGGGCTAACCACAGTGGGCAAATAGGCTGGGAAAGCCCAATAAATTCATATTCACTATCATTTAAATGTAGGCTGATTTAAGCAATTAAAAATAATAAATAAAACTTTATTATCAACCCAAAAAAATAATCAAAAATACACACAATTTGTTGAAACAAGATTACGATAGTAATGGAAAATATCTTTTAAAATGCGTATCCCTCATAAGGCAGGCAAACAGTTTATCTTCAAAGTCAATTCTTCAACTACATAAATTTATTTATTTATATAATAACTTACATTTTTTAAGTTCTGTTCACTACTTCACTTTTCTTTATGATAAAGAAACTTTCAAATTAATATAATGATCAACTTAATAATACCATAATAATCTCTAATATCTGCCCCAAAAATCACACACATTTTACCATTGTCCAACAATCTCCCCCATTTCCTTCCCACTGTGTAATTTTTGTAGCTGTCTTTGATTTATGTTTTGCAACAGAAAGACAACAAATTATGTGCAATTTTGCAAACACTTAATAAAATTATAAATGGTCCTTGCACGGCCAACAGAATTTTGGGGTCGGGAGTTCAGCCGGCAACTCCTTTCCATTTATCAATGCCACACCGGCAAAGTGTTTTTCCGGGCGGATTGCGGAGGGAATCACGGATTACCCGATATGGATAGATGGAAAGAGGGACAGGGAAGAACAGCAGGAGAAGCAGCAGCAGAAGCAGGTCCCGAACCTAGGCCAGTAGGCAGTTCAAAAGGGCGTCGCATAAACGCTGGAAAATTGTGACACGCGTCAGCCATTTGTATGAGTAATGATTGTTAATAAATCCCGACAAAACCATCCCGAAAACGTTCAACGTACCGTACAGTGAACACCCCAACCGAACGCCCCCGCTGCGCCACCTGCCGCTCTAGTGAACAAATTCAACTCAATTGTGAGTTTTGTGCGAATCAATTTATAATCTACAATGCGCGGTCTTTTGCCGTTGTCACGTGCTGGGCCTAAACAACAACAACAAAACGCAGGGAAATGGCAGAAAATACAACAAATATCACACAGGACCAACTCGTTTGCGGCACTTGTAGTTGGGTTTGTTAACGTCAACGCCGAACCACCGCACCACCACCGCGCCACCTAGCCAGCAAAATACGGAACCACCGAAAGCCGCTGGCAACGCATCGCCCACCATTTTGATTTCGCTTTGATTGGCAGCGTACATGACGATGATTCCGCCCAGCACCCAACACTCTTCAATGCACTGAACAAAAATCTTGTATTTAACTCCAACGAGGATATATTTTACTATATATTTGTATAGAATATTCCGAAAAAATGTCCAAGATCAGATTAATTATCAAATATGGAAGGTATTTCGATATTTGAGTTTATAGCTTGTTTTTAAAAAGCGAAACTTAAGGCATATTTTCCAAGTGTAACAATACCCGTTTTTCCCCTTTTCTGCGGTTGATTGCGGCCAGGAGAAATTGTCAGGCAGTAGAGACAGCCAGTCAGTCAGTCAGAGTTTTGGTCGCTGGGCTGGGTCTACTTTGAAATTCAAATCAATTGATTTCGGTCCAAATGGAAATGGCCTGCTTATGTCTTTTGTTTCTAGTTTCTATGCGGCTCAAAATGATTTATTTGTCGCAATTTCGCCGCTCAGCGATTTGTCTCCTTTTGTAGCCTGGAAAATACTCCACATAGATGCTAAATGGATGTTGCCGCGAGACTTGGGCCGCGAGTTTTGGGGGCTGTGTGTTCGTTTTTGTGGGCGTCTTATTTATTGACGTTACTTTAAGAGATATTGATTTGCATAATGCGCACTTAGGCATTTGTTTACGCGTAACAATCAAATTTGAATTCGCATTTTCGTATTTGTATTTCGCCTTTAATTGGATGTTTGGCAGAGGGCAGACTGTTTGTGTGCTCGCTATTTGCATGTCAATTTGACTTTTATCTATTCAGCGTACTTAAATAGACAAAGTAAGCCATGCTCAAGTGGTTGTACATGGAAATCCCAGTGGCTAGATTAAGTGCCAGTTTGCAGGACGAGCTTAACAGAAACGTGGATGTTTCTCCTTTCGGTCTTCGATTTCACTCCTCATCTATGGGTTTTCCCCTTTTGCTTATTGCTAGTATACTCCATTCCTGATTATTAGTTGGCATTTATTTATGGCTTTATGATTTATGGAGATTGATTGGGAATTGTGAAATATTGAAATAAGTGCAGCAGCAGAAGTGCATTCTCTCAATCGATATTTTGTTGAAAATATTTAAATACTCAATATGCCTTTTACTTTTGTGAATCAGATTTGTAAGTAATATATTTTAAATATTTTTTTTTGCTATAATATTGAACGTAAAATAAGTTCCACTTTTTATTTATGAGAAAACTGGAAATATAAGTTATTTTTAACTTTCAGATCTCAATCCAAACTCTGAAAAACTATTAAAAATATATGATTTCATACTTTCGGTCCACTATTTTTCTTTTCAGTCTATTCTTCTTTTCCAGTTTAGACCCACTATATATGCAATTCGTACAAAACCTTTTCAAGTTTAAAAACTAAAAAACTAGACCGCATAATCATACTAGCTGCATTGTCCGACCAGCAACGAGTGCCTTTGGCATATGCCATAGACAGTGGCCAGTTAGTTTCGTCATTTTAATTTATATACATACAAAACCCAGAGAATAAACTAAAGCAACAAAAAAAACACAAAAAAAAGGAAAAGAAAAATAATACAATGCCACGAGGGGCAAGAGCCAAAACAAAATAAAGCCAACCAGCCATGGCATCAAACTTCATCAACGAGATAGCGGCAAAGTTTAAAGTCCTCTTTGGGCAGAACAATGTGTCCGGTGGGCTACAGGGGGTAAAGTCGGAAAAGCGGGGAAAGTGTTTGGGAAAGTGTGTGGTTAAAATGGTGAGGGGGGGAGGTATAGTGGCGAATTGGATGCACGTAGTTTTAGCTGGTGTCGCCTGTTTTTTGTTTCAATGAAGGCGAAGCTGTTGACAGACCAACAATCGACTTGGGAATTTTGTCACTAAAGTGCCATCGCCATCGTAACCACCTTAAAAACTTTGTCACAACAACATCGGCACTCTCTCTGTCTCTCTTGCTCTCGATTTTCAAACAGCCATCACCCAGGATGCTTTGATGATGCCAGAAACAGGACCAGGGATATAGGGATACTGGGATACTGGGATACCGGGATGCAGGGATCCACAGAACACACAGGAACACAGGAAAACAGGATCAGGCTTGGAGGCTTGAGGTTTGCTTCAAACTTTTGCCCGGCAAATATTTTGTCGCTTAGCTGCGTGCCGTGTGTCATCACACTGATTAACTTTGCCAAGTTTGCACAGCTCAGCAGTGGGCCGGGAAATGCCTGGATATGCCAGCGTACGACGGGATACCCCAGGATACGCCAGAACATGCCGGTCCACATACTGACCATAAAACGGTGACTGAGCCGCACTTAATTACTTCGGAGATTTGCCGCATTTTTAGTGACAAGATGGGTTTGTTTTTTTACCTTTTTTTCACTGAGAAAAGAGTAGTTGATGAAAAATAAAGAAATTAATGAGTTTATAAGAAAACGTATCCATCATTTTTACACGGTTTCACATAGTAAACATAGAATAAGAATCTTAATCTTAATAACAATAAGAAATTCAGTACATAATTTCCTTTTTTAGCTTTATATTTATATCATATTTTAGTTCTCAGTGATTTTGCCCCAGTTTTTGATGTCCTCTTGCTAAGCTTTTGGCATTTTAATGCGGGGGTTATCATTTGAGGTTAGATTTCCCTTTAAAATAAACACACTCTCCAAAATGGATACACCTGTCCAGAGTGGAAATCCTGTACTTGTTTTTTGGCTCGTTTAGCTTCGTTTAGCATTACAACAACACAATTTTTCGGCAGCCCTGTTCCCCCGCAAAAGCTGACTTTCCTTTTGTATTTTTTTGGTTTTCACAGAGGGTTCAGGGGGCACAGTTTTCCCTTTCTACTTTTTCGGTGTGTGTATTTTTTCAATCTTGTTCTCTGGTGCTTTACTGGTACTTGGGTATACTACATAGCCATTTTTGGTTTATTTACCCTAGTTGATTGCTTTGTTTTCGTTGAATTTTCATTTTTGCTGCTTTTGTTTCGCCCGCAATGCAAGTCACACAAATGGGGGCAGAAAAGGAGAGGCGTGCCACCACCAGGCACAACATGGCCGCAATCATCAACTTCAACTCCGTCCGTTTGTCCATTGTGTCCGTTCGTCAGTCCCTCCGACCCGTAAGTTGTACTTGAAACAGGTCAGAAACTTTCCACCAAAGTGGTTTGTATTAAGTCAATTAAAAAGTTTACAGTCCTGCTGACTGCCTGACTTCTGATTCCCCAACATCTCCATCCCCATCCCAATTCCCTTCCCACCCGTCCATTGTCTCTGGAGGCCTTGGGGGTCCTTAGCATATTTCACAAATTTTCCACAACAACATTCATTTGGATTTGGGATTTGTTGTTGTTGCCATTGCGGTTATTTGAGAAAGGCAGAGAGAGAGAGAGAGAGGTAGCTAAGAGGGGTCCTTCGCCATAAACTAAATTACGCTTGTTTTCATCAAAAAACTTTGTCCTGGGCAATTATTTGTTAAGATTAATTAACACTTCAAATAAATATTTGGTGTTGGCGTGTCGGTAATTGTCTAAGTGCCGTTGCACTACTTTACCATATACCATCCGATTCTATGGCAAAACTAAGCTCGGATTTCGCTCTAATTGGTATAAGTTTTGGTGCCCGAATGCCATTATGCATTTGTCGGGGCAGAGTTGGGCACAAAAATGTACTTTTGCTCCAGCAGAGAACTATGAAATGAAACTTTATACCGTTTCTGGCAAATGGACAATAATGAATTTGCCATTTTAAATCGTTGGTCTTTAAGTTGGGTTGGATAAATGGTGTATAATGCTTAAAATGTTTAATGGCTCTGAATTATTCTGGTTTAATAAATAGCTTAAATGGTTAATTGCTTCTGATTTCAGTGCTACCCAAATTCGATCCGTACATCTCGGGCGTTCGACATGCCTACAAATATCACGACTATCTGGTGGCTAACTGCAGTTCGGAAATGTCCAGTCCAATGGCCAAGTTAGTGTGGTATATTAACAATAAAACGGTAAGTTATTTAAACTCTTAAATAATATAATAAAATATTATTTTTTAATTATAAATATAAAAAGATACCAAAGCTTGGGTCTGTATCTGTGGTTTAAGTTTCTTTGCAATTTCTAATCTTATGGAATGGCTACAGTCGAATGTCGCGACTATCAGCTACTGTTTAGCCTACTCTGTTAGTTAGGAGTAACTTCATTACCAAGACTAACAAAATTTAGAATTACTACCTTAGTTAGGTTCCAAATAAGATTAAATTTCATACATATTTTTTCAAGTGCCTTAAAATGACTTCATTTTCTATTTGAAAAGTGTCCTAGCCCAGTCAGTTTTGTCATTGAACTTGTCCAAATGTTGACAAAAAACTGGGACAGGACACCGACTGTAAGTCACGCCCGTATGTGGTACCCAATTTGGCTTTTAAACCCAACGCTTTCCATTTGCATTTCCGTTTCCGTTTGCTTCCGGCCGCAGGCACCTGGGCACAGTTTGCAGCCGCAAATCAACGAAGTCTCACGCAACGCCGACGGATTTCACCTGTTCGCCAGCCACCTGCAGTTGCGTCTCCACCTGGACGACCAGCGCTTCATCAGCAAGAGTGAAATGCTGGAATTGCGCTGCACGGCGGATATCATGGGACTGGCAGCGGTAAGGAGGGAGAGCAGGGTGCGAACCACTATACTGGCACTCAAGGACGCTGGCACTAAGCAGAGACTCACAGAGAATGGATCCTGCATCACCGGACAACCAGGTGAGTTGAGTTTAAAGATCTATTTAAAGAACTTTAACTTTATTTTTACATAAAATAATATTTAAATTTTTATAAATATATTTTTCAGCTTCTTTGGCCGCCTGGCTTTTGAGCCTTGTACACATTCTACGCTGGCACGGCTCTCAGAGTTAGTGGCTGGCATTAACAGGCACACTTTTTGTAGCCTAAACTAACTAGAATTTGGTCTCTCAGTGCATACGATGTAAAATCAACAGAAAATGGGAGAAACACAGAGAGGGTGCAAAAAAATATAAATTGGGTGATTCGCACCATTTTTCGAGCCAAAATGAAAAGTTAACAAGCCAAGGCAGCAGCAACAGTTGAATTTGTATATAGTCGAAATCGAATTAGTCTAGGTCCGAGAGCAGGAAGCCCAGCCATTTCCTACATATGTAAGTGTAATGAAACATTTATTTTATGTGTGAAAAACAAGCAGCCATCGGAAATGCGAAACCGAAAAATCAACATAGAATGAAAACTATGAAACATAAATCTAATATATATAGGTATCTAAACGTAAAATTTGCTACCAAATACGATTAAATGTCAGAATAATTTAAATAGATGGTGGAAAATTCGAATATCAACAAATTTACACATGAATATTTGAGCACAGAAATAAAAGGAACACACACAATCAATGGCAATTAAACTTAATTATTGTATGTGAATTGTTAATTGTATTAAATGATGTATGGGAAATAAATAAATACAAATAAAAGACTAAGCAAAAAAAGGTGTTTTTAACAATACTTTAATTTATTTAAAAATTCCCAAAATTTGTATTAAAATTTCACGTTTTGCTTTTATTTATTGCGTCTTTCAATGTCCCTGAGAACCGATTTATATGAAGGCATCCTTGGTCTCGGAAAACGCTCTCTGTAGTTTAGACCTAAACTGCCTAAGTGGATCTCTGAGGGAAAGCTATTTAACACGGGATAAATCACGATATCATCTATCTTGTTCTTTTCCTTTTTATTGTTGCAACAATTTTTAGAATTTTTCAATAGATTCCAGCAGCAAAAAAGGCAGCTCAGTGCCATTGAAAGTCGAATCATATAAAAATAACTTTGTATATCCTTATTTTCCATATAAACCAATATCCTTTGAATCAGACAGCCTGATGTATCCCAAAGTAATGCCAACGCAAGATAAACTATTACTCCGTGGAGGATTGTTAGCACTGGGTAATGCCACATGGTGCTATTCCTTGGATATTTGGTTCTGCAAAGTGGCCCAACTTCGAGTAGATAATTATGAATGGCCACAGTGCATAAAGCAGAACTTAAATCTGGATCCTGGCAGCTAAATGGCTGCCACAAGACTTTCCTTATGTGAATCATTTCTATAAGAACTAGTAAAACAATGTAAAATAATCGTTGCATTTTGAATTGATGAAAAAATAACAAATTTAGCTGCCAGAAAAAATAGGACAGGAAAGGAAAAGCCAGAAATTGTCCCTATATTTAACTAAATTCTTTCTATAAACAGCTCTTTTAAGCATTTGTACACAGAACTTTCGTCAACTGATAAATTAATAAATATTCTTGAATCTTTTAAGTTCTCCCCCTTTTCTTAGAATTTATCACTGGTTGTTTGACTAGTCAGGGTCCCAAAAAAATCTCAGCTCGCATGCCTTCTTCAACCTAATCCGAATACCGAAAAGCCAATAGGGACTTCAGAAAAAACGCTTATGCCCCTCATTTCCTTTCCTGAAGTCGTTTACCTAACTTATGGCAAACAGATACAAACAAACAAAAGCAACAGCAAAAATGAAAGGAAAATGCCAAAAACGGAAAATTCGATTTAGCAACCTTCACTTCCCTTGGAAAAGAAATTTATATAAAACCAAACACTTTACAGAGGCAGTGAAAAATATTCAACGCATTAGGCCAAATCCGGGCTAAAATATGCAATGGCCAATGGCCGCCGCAGGTAAAAATGACAGCAAAATCAGTAGGAAAAATAACAAGAACAAAAAACTGTCAGGCATTGACCGAAAATTATGCATAAAATTGCCTTGGGCTTCGAAAAAAAAAAATGCCAACAGAAAAAAAATTGGAGCAAACAAAGATAAGTTCCGACGTCTGTTGGTTTGGGCCTCGACTTGAGAGTTCCAGCTTCGGATCCGGATGCGGCGGATATGCCCGTGACCCCCATACCCAACCTCCTCCTTCCACCATTTGCCGCGGGCACATTAAATGACGGAAGTAAATAAGCTTGACAAATTTCCACTCATCATTTTTGCATTAATTCTGCCTCCTTTTTTTTTGGGGGGACAAACCGACAAACCAACAGCCAAGAGACACGGGCACTGAACAAAAAAATGTCCTTTGATTAATCAAAAAATTTACCACTACCAGTGGAATGGGCTAAAACAACAACACCACAGGCAAAAACAACAAAAAAGAAGAAGCAAACCCAACAAATTGCCAAAGAGGCGCCGGCGGTGCTCGGAGGGATTTTTTGAGTCCAGGACGAGGCGCCAAAGCAAAAACCCTACTCATGTAAAGGAAAACTCAAAGCAGTAGCTCAGCAGTCTGCACTCAGAAAATAAAGAGGTGTATTTCTTAGTAAAATAACTTTTTTGGACTTTACATTTCTAAATTATATCATTTTACTAACTGAAATTTATTGATTTATCTAGGAAAAACTGTTTTTTTGATAATATACGTACTAAATAATAAATAAGAAAATAAAGACAAAAATAACATAATTAATTTTCCAAGTGCACCTGGACTTCAGTTCGGAAATATACAGATAAAGATGGCAGCAAGCGAAGATTTCACAGATTTTTGCACGCGATTTGTCAGCCCGACATTTCCGGCAACATCACCCTGGGCGGGAATTGGATTTGAGGTGTTTTTCCTTTTTTTTTTTTTTATTTTCACTTCTTATTCCTCCATTCCTGTATTTTTCGAATGCCACAAAACAAGCGGCAGTCCAAGTTGATTTAGTAAGTCACGTGGCCGCGCAACTGTAAATTGCCTCATCCTGGGTTTTCCTGTTGGAGTTCAGGTGTGGGTTCCGTTTTCTGAGTCGTGGGTCACAAAGTATCACAGTGGTTATGCTTGGTTCTAAGTTTTTCCTTCGTTTTTCTTTTTCACATGTTTTTCCACCACATTTTGCCAAAAAGGTCACGCAGGCTTTGCCAAAAGACGTGCTAAAAGAATAGATCATAATATTAGGATGAGAAAAATATTACTTAATGTCGTTCCTATAACCATATAAATTAAATATAAAATTTTACAAAAACTTAAAGTTTACATATAATTGCGAAATAATTGAACCGAATTTCGACTACAAACAGATAATTTAATTGCAATATTTTTGCTTGACTGTTATCATCCAAAATAAATATGTACAGGGATTTCCTGAAGTTGTTTGATAGCCAAAGATACACGTAAAGCTAGCCACGATAATTTTGCATACTTCTATACTAAAGAGGTTTGACGAAATTTGGTTTGTTATTGTGTACTGAAAGCTAAAAATGCTTATCTGAATCATCCGAAGTGTACAGAATTTTACATATAAAAGGCACTGCCTGATTGTGCACGTTATCAGTATACTTTTTGCAGTCCACCAAAATGGTTCGCAAGCCAAGTGAAATATTTTTGCTTGTGATAGCCTTCGCCGCTTTCATGGGAGATTCTCAGGGTGCCAATATTCTGGGTCTCTTCCCCAGCCTGAGTCCCTCACATTTGATCATTCAAATGTCAGCGGCTAAGATTTTGGCGGAGAAGGGTCATAATGTGACGGTAGTTACTGCTCTAAAGCCGGTTGTGAACCACAAAAACATAACTGTGATCCAAGTGCCACTCTCCCAGGAGGAATCCCAGGAAATGAGCGACGTTATTGGAAGAATGTCCAAGAACGACAATAGCAACATGGCTTTATCCCTACTCCGGATGTCAGATCAGATGGACTTCATGGTCAGAAAGAATGCAGAGACTCTAATGGATGATCAAGTAAAGGCTCTTTACCTAAACAAAGGCAACCAGTTTGACCTGGTTCTCTCGGGATACTTCATGAACGAATTCCAACTTGGATTCGCTAGGAAAGTGAATGCACCAGTCATCGTCTTTGCTACAATGCCTCCTAACCAATTGTTGAACCCACTGATCGGCAATCCCTTGGAACTTTCATATGCTGCACTCACTGTGGAACCCGGTAAGGGTGTGACGTTTAAAGAACGTTTTTTCGCCTACATATCAAGCCTCGGCTTTGGACTCTTTAGCTACCTTTCAGAGAGGCGTAACAGGATTTGGTACAAGTAATTGGAAAAACAATCAAGAGGTGCTTTCTTAAATGGGTTGACTCATTTGCTCTTTCTACTTCTAGGAAAATATTCGGTGATGATCCCACCATGCCTGAATACTCCGAGTTGCTGAAAAACACTTCTCTGGTATTCTTCGGCTCCCACGCAGCCAGCGAGGGTCCCATCCGACCCAATGTCCCAGCCGCGGTCGAGATTGGAGGAATTCAAATTAAGGACACGCCTGATCCACTGCCTCAGAACATGGCGGATTTTCTGGGCAATGCCACAGATGGAGCCATACTCCTCTCCCTGGGTTCCAATATTCAGGGAAAACATCTGAAGCCAGACACTGTGGTCAAGATATTCAATGTCCTCTCGAAGCTGAAGCAGAGGGTTATCTGGAAATGGGAGGATTTGGAGAATACCCCTGGCAAATCGGACAATATTTTGTATTCAAAGTGGCTGCCACAGGACGATATCCTGGCACATCCCAATATTAAGCTGTTCATCAACCATGCCGGAAAGGGAGGCATTACTGAGGCGCAATATCATGGAAAACCTATGCTATCGCTTCCGGTGTTTGCAGATCAGCCCCGCAACGCCAACAGTATGGTCCAAAAGGGTTTTGGCCTCACTCTAAGCCTACTCACTTTGGAGGAACAACCGTTCCGTGAAGCAATCTTAGAAATCCTCTCGAATCCCGAGTACGCACTGAAAGTAGCCTCATTTTCTTCCCTGTACCGAGATCGCCCAATGACCGCTAGGGAAACACTTGTCTACTGGACGGAGTACGTCATCCGGCACCATGGAGCTCCCCATCTGCAGAGTCCTTTGCTTTACATGAACGACATAGCAGCTAAAAATATTGATATCTATATCCTTTTCACCATCATATTTGTTACTGTGATACTCCTGGTCAAGGCAGTGATTAAATTTGTTTACAGAAAGTTCACCTCGAAGCCAAAGAAGGAGAAAGTGCAATAAGAGTTTTCAGACTTGCAATAAATTCGTTTTTAAGTTTAAATAGTGTGTCACTACAACTTAAAAATATTGTATTAAAAACATAAAATAAAATATATTTTTTTTTTGAAAAAGAAAGTATAAATATTTGCAATTTTATATCAGATTGAGGAAATAATCGTTATTTAATCGAAATGCATTAAAAATTACTTACAGATCAAGAATTTTGTCACAATGACTAGACTAAATATATTTTGTAAATCATTTCTAATATTATGTTTAATATAATCGATAAGCCAAAGTGCTTCTGTTTTATCTTTGAAATTCTCAGAAAATTGTACCTAAAAAACTTGATAAACCCTATCAACGAACGAGGTTACCAGAAATATAACTGGTTAGATTATATTACTTTTACTTTTTTCTATCACCTGCCTGGAATTTAACAGATGATGAGCCTTATCTTAGCATGGTGTCACTTGAATTCCCACGATTATTTGCAAACATTTTTAAATCATAAAAAGTACATAACATGATTAGTGACAGTATTTTTTTCTTATACATTAGTTAGCCATAATGTTTGAAACAAGTTAGTATCCCCTTTAACCAAACATAAAATATAATTAAAAAACTATAAAATTAATATTAAAATTCATTTATTTTCATTTTACTATTACTATTACGAGTATTTTTTACCAGATGGTCAATTAAAAACTTTTAGTGCTTTTTCTGCTTCTTTGGTTTTGCTGCAAACTTTTTGTAAATGATCTTGACCAGCTTAGTCAGCAGTAGTACAAAAATGACTAGAACCACGACGAATATAGCATAGATATCCAAGTTATTGGCTGCAATATAGTTCATGTGGACCACAGGACTCTGAAGATGGGCAGCTCCTTTGTGACGGATAACGTACTCCGCCCAGTAGACCACAGATTCCCTGGCGGTCATTGGCCGATCACGGTAGAGAGTGGAAAACGAGGCAACCTTCTGGGTGTATTCTGGATTCGATAGGATCTCTAGGATTGCCTCGCGGAACGGCTGCTCCTCCAGGGTCAGGAGACTCTGGGTCAAACCGAAACCCTTTTTAACCATGGCATCAGCATTTCCGGGCTGATCACCAAATACAGGTAGGGAAAGCATTGGTTTTCCGTGGTACTGGGCCTCCGTAATGCCTCCCTTTCCTGCATGATTTATGAACAGTTTAATGTTGGGATGTGCCAATATATCGTCTTGGGGCAGCCATTTGGAGTAGAGAATATTGTCCGATTTACCAGGTGTATTCTCCAAATCCTCCCATTTCCAGATAACCCTCTGCTTTAGCTTCGAGAGAACATTGAATATCTTGGCCACGGTGTCTGGCTTCAGATGCTTTCCCTGAACATTGGAACCCAGGGAGAGGAGAACAGCTCCATCAGTAGCATTGCCCAGAAACTCCGCCATATTCTGAGGCAGGGGATCTGGCGTGTCCTTAACTTGAATTCCTCCAATCTCGACAGCGGCTGGAACATTGGGTCGGATAGGTCCTTCGCTTGCGGCGTGGGAAGCAAAGAATATCAACGACGTGTTCTTGAGCAGCTCAAAGTACTCGGGAAGGGTACCATCGTCACCGAAAACTTCCCTATAAGTAGAGAAAGCATATATATTAGAAACCTATCGAAAAGTGCTAACTAATCCTACTTACTTGTAATATCTTTGATTACGCCTCACGGTTAGGAAATTGAAAAACTCAAAGAAGACGCTTGTAACGTAGCCAGACAAACGCTGCCGGAATGTCATGCCCTTGCCCTTTTCCACGGAACCATCGATTGAAGGAACGTAAGACACTTCCAAAGGATTTCCGATCAGTGGATTCAACAATTGGTTTGGCGGCATTGTGGCAACGACAATGACTGGAGCATTCACCTTCTTGGCGAATCCAAGTTGGAAATCATTCATGAAGTATCCCGAGAGAACCAAATCGAACTTATTGTCCTTATTAAGGTAAAGATCCCGAACACGATCGTGCTTTAAGGCTTCGGCCATTTTGCTGAACATGAAGTCCATCTGTCCCGACATTCGGATCAGGGATAGAATCATGTTGCTATTGTCACTTTTGGACATCGCTCCAACGGTGTCGCTCATTTGCTGGGCCTCCTCTTTGGTGAGTGGCACTTGGACTACTGTTATGTTCTTGTGGTTTACCACAGGTTTTAGCACTGTCACCACCGTCACGTTGTGTCCCCTCTCGGCCAGGACCTTAGCCGTCGACATTTGAATGATCAAATGAGAGGGACTCAGGCTGGGGAAAGAGACCCAGAATATTGGCACCCTGAGAATCTCCCATGAAAGCGGCGAAGGCTATCACTAGCAAAAATAATTCACTTGGCTTGCGAACCATTTTGGTGGAGCGTTGGTATGTGACTGATAATGCAAACCGTCTGGGTGGGTCTTATATTTATAATCGTATTCCCGCTGACTTCGGATGACCACTCATTTTAGCAGCGATAAGTGAATAGTGTTTTCCGTTTTGTTGTGCTAGGTTGCCGTTTGAAAGCATTTCACAACCAATATCAGCTATTACCCTGAAGATTGTAGTTCAGGCACATTGATAGTGACCCTTATCGCGTTAAACATTTTGGTAATCGATGCCACTTGAGAGAGATTAGGAAATTCAACTTATCTTATCAATGTTTCGGTTTCTAAGCGATAACAGTAAGCAAAATGTTTGCAATTTACTAGGCAGTAGTCTCTTTTTCTCTTAAATTTCGTCATTTCAAATGGTAAATGTATTATTTAATAAGAAATATTTGTCATTGAAATATATATACTCTTTGATAACGAATTCCTCCTTTGATTACATTCCCAAAATTAAAGCACCTAATTATTAACCAAATTGTAAAGCATATGCTGCGTATTTAAAAGGCCTTCATGCCTGAGCTCAAAACTAGATGAATTTTGTAATTTCGGCAAAGAAAATGTTTTAAATTAAATGAAAACACGTAAATGGCTCCGCCACCCCCCGGTATTTCCGGGTGGTTCCCATGTAGTTTCAGGCAAATGAAACGAAAGCAAAAACAACCGCATAAGAGTCGCTTCTCAGGTGGTAACATGTAGGTTTGTTTTTCTTCCACTTCCCTCACAATTCCTTGATTAATTTCTTTGCCGAAACTGGCTTTTTCCTCCCCCACATACCTTTCTCAACTTTAAAGCGAGTTTTAACAGTTTAATTTTTGTTTAGCATGCTTTGTCCCATTTGCATTTCAGTTAGCAGGGTTTGTATTTTTATTTAACCAGTTTGAAATTGGCCCGATCGTGGACAGGCAACTATCTGTCCTAATGGCTAGTGACACTGATTTAAATTAAATATTTGGACGAACCGGCTGTGTCACTCTGTCAGCACGGATTCAAATAAACATAAACTGGATTTCACATTGTGGCTGCTGCAATTCCTCTGCTTTTTAGCTCGTTTTTAGGTTTTAATTTAAAAATAACTGTCTAAAATGGAATTGATTTTATAACCAAGCGCCAATGGTAAACGGCACTGATCGAGATTGATGGGATATAAGATGACCTTTTATAAAGTTTCAGATCAACCTTTAAACTTTTATATAAAAATATTAGTTTTAGCTGCTCTAGATTGCTAGGAATAAGTCAAGTTAAGTTAAAACTGTTTAGCTCTAATCTGGTAATTTTATAACAATATATTTTTGCCAACAAAATTACTAAAAAATAAAGTAAAGACAATATTTAAAGCCATTTCAACAGTTAAAAAACGAAAGCCAACCTAAAAAACTTATTGAAATATTTTAAATATTCCGAAAATCAGTCACTGGAACAGCTTTGAAAAATCAGTCAAGTCACTGTCATTGTTGGGAGTCCTTTTTTTTTGGGAAGGATTTGATGAGTGAGCTGGTGTGAGCATTGATTTTACATTTCGAAAACGGGCTGTCAGTCAAAGCTCTGCGAGGTCATGATTCCCAGGCTCATGACGTGGACTGTGAACCCGACATGCGTTCGACGCGATGATGGCAATTTAGACTTTCACAGAATCCCTTTTCGATGGTTCTGTCCTGGACTTAACTTTTATTTTTAGGACATTTAGATGGATAAATGTGATAAATGTGAAAATGTGAAACTAAAAACTAGTGTAAAGGCAAGAATAAAATTAAAATTAATTTTTACTATCTTCTTAAAGAAAAGGTTAGTTATTTTCAGTTCTGCCAAGCCTGCTTAATAAAGAAATAAATATTTTACAGCTCGACTTGTTTTTGAACGCATTTTTCCGAGTGCATGTTTCCTTCTAATTAAATGGAAAATCGTCGAAGGTGGGGCAGTTGACAGATCTGCAGTCCCATTGGTATTGTGATTCCTCAGAAAGAACTGCCAAAGGCAGCAGTCGTCTTGTTCAATGAATTTTGACTGCTGGCAGTTTTTTGGGTGAAATCTACCAGAGTGGGTGGAAAAGTGGCGTGCCATTTTGGGAGGCTGTTTTTCACACAGAGCCTGCCGTATCAATGGCAAATTGCATTGACATATTGTTGCTATCGGCCATGCCAAGTGTTCTTCGGTCCCAGGGACTGTCAAAATGTCGCGTCACGATTTCCCCGATCCCCGGCTAAAGGCAATCGAAATTGCCAATCCCATATATACCAATCCCTCCCACCAGCCCTCTGTGCTTTTGCCAGTACAATGTCGCCTATAAAGCCTTTGGCTTTACGCTTGGCATTAAGTGGACTTATAATTAAACGATTTGCTCATTTAATCGCGTCCGTTTATCGTCCACTGAACGATGAGCATGCCAACGAATTTCCCTCTTAGCTGCAGGACATTTTCGAGGATGTCGTCTGTCCTGTGTTATGTCACTGCGTTATTGCAGTTAATGTTGTTGTCATTTCTGATACACATTTGCCTCTAGCCCGCAGATAAGGCGCCTGCAAATGATTCACAATTTAAACTCTAGTTGAAGCAACTCATTTACTTGGTAAAGTTAAAAAGCAAAACCAGAAAATGCAACAAATTTGCTTTTAAAATTTATGATAAATAATAAACATCTTACTTGTAGAAAGAAAATAGAGGAAAAATACATTAAAAAATCATATAAAAATAACACAATTTGTTAGTCCTACATCAGTTCTACCTTTTCACAAACTTTTCCCAAAATAAATTGAGTGGAAAGTGAACAATATGCTGATAATTCAGTAAAACCAACATCGTTTTAAACCAAAAATCGAAACAACAAAATACCAATTAACTTCCGAAAAAAAAGAAAGGAAGAGAACTTTGAAATGTCAACTAGGATGTGCGACCTTCGAGCATGGGTAATATCCCACATGGGTACCATTTAAGCAATCTGTCATATGCCCGCCAAGATGCTTAACTTTTCCCCCACCTCGATTTCCAGCTTTTCCTGCTCCCTTTTTTTTATGACAGGACACGACAAGCAAGCGACAATAACAACGATAACAAGAACAGGAAAAATAAATGGGCAACCGAAGAGGCGTGCGAAAATGTTGGAAAACCTTATATCCTACACTGTAAGAAAAAGGCGTATTGTAACTTAAAAACATAGAAATTCTTTTCGCACTTAAAAAGTAAGTTAAAAAACACTTTTAGCTTAATAAAACAAACTACTTTTCATTTGTCTTTTAAAATATTCCTTAATTCCTTATTCCAGATGAGGGAATTTCATGCAAATTTGATCGAAAAACATCTAAAATTTGATTTCTTTCAGTGGCTTAGAAGGCCTAACGAAACGCCAGCGAAAGTGGATGAGACGCTGCCGTGTAGTTATAAAAATTGTTATCTTAAAGCCTCTGTCAGTTAGCTGGCATTCCCCTCCAGGTTCTCCAGCCTGTCTGCTGATGAAAACGAAGTTGACAATACGAATGAGTTTCTTATAACAACAGCCGGAAAAAGGAAACGAAAAAGGAAAAGCGACTCGAGGGGCGGATACAAAATGAAGCGACAGCAAAAAGTGCAAACGTGCCGCCAAAAAAAAAAATTAAAGAAAATAAATAAAAAAGAATATAGGTGGGGTTGATAGTCGAGTAAACTGGAGATTCGAAATGGAAACTTTTGGCTCCTGGCTCAGATTGAGCTCTTTGGTTTGTCCAAGACTGTAGGATAGTAAATCTCCCTCAACAAACACAACAAAATATGACAGCAAACGAAATGGCTGTATTTCTTTCTTCGCGCTGTGTTTTAGCCAGAGTTTAATAAATCAAAATGGGTAATTAAATAATAGTTTAAAGGAGGGGACCGTAAAAATAACGAAATATATATTAATATTATTGAATTCAAGTATCAAATATTTTACTCTCATCAATCATATTTTAAAAAGTATTTAGGAGAATTTTAAAGCACCTCCCGCAGAATCCTAAAGAAGGATTTCTTTTAAGCTTTTAATATAAATTTTTCGATATATTTTTGATAAAAATTTCGAAATCGAAAGTTGATAAAATTACTTACATTTTGTTTATGACAGCTATTACACAAGTTGTTTACCTGTTTACCGGTTGAAAATAGGTCGCTTTCACATGTTTTCTTAACATAAAAGCTATTGCCAAGTAAAGTATGGAACTCTCAAGGAGCCCTAGAAGCCTTGGAATCCAATTGTTTCCACATAAAAATCGTTTATAGAAGACAAGAGTTTGAACGATAAACCAAAAACGAAATTCCCTTAAAGGTGGCAGTATGACATTTCATTTACTTTCCAAATTGGAACGAATAACAAATTATAGGATTTAAAATTGTTTTACTTCATCTGTTGCTATTGTTCCTTGTCATTAATACTGATTATTGCATGCCTCCTGAAATCGAATTATTGAAAATCTGATTTACATCACTTCAACAGGATTCTCGATTACCAATATTTCTGTTACACAAAAGCGTGAATTGCCTTAATCAACAAGATTCCAAACTTAATTTGAGCCATGTAATTAAGTTATGAATGTATGTGCAATTATTCAGAAGGTTTCACTAAATAAAAGCCACTTCTGTACCAGCATTTAAAAAATATTATATTGCTTGAACTAAAGGACATCCATAAAGCTAATATTAATCACTGCTGTTTTGTATTTTAAGCAATTTTTACAGAAAAAAAATTGATAACACCAATACAATAATCTCTGGGTTACCTTTTTATTACCCACTTTCCGATTCTTTTGTTTGGTTAGCCAGTCAAGATTGATTTTGTGGCGGATCTTCTTCGTCGTGTAAGCCCAAAATAGCATCACGTTTTAAATTGCTGCTTATCAAAACATGTCCCGAACTGTAATCTGTTTTAGCACTCGCTCACTCCCGCCCCCCAACAGCCATCCACCTAACCAGCTTGCCACCTGGAGGATGGCTAAGAATTTTTCCGGAGGAGGCCACGACCAAGATCAGGAAACGAGAAAAGCGGTAACCTCGAGTGAGAAGCGGCGACGGAGCGTAAAATGAG